CAAAACCCACCAAAATACTAGGGAATGGAGAAACACCAAATTTTTAGAAATCATTCCAAGATTTCAATTCCCATTCCAGTGAACCAAACACCATTTATGGGGTTCATTCCATTCCCCGAATCCGATACCCTCTTACCAAACGCCCCCTTAGTTTCTTGAGTAAGTTGGGAACGAGGTCCACGAATGTGTGCATTGGTTATTTCTAGGTCTCTTTTTTCTTTTTTTTGCTTTACACGCCAAAGTTTAGTTAGGTCGCTTGATATCCTAAGATGTTACGATTAAATTCCGGCAAAGGCCACTCATTGGGCGTGTAGTCTATCAACTATTTATCGAAATTCAAACGCGAAAATTTCAGTTCATTCACATAGATTTTTTAAATAAATATATGTATATATTTTTCTTATTTTTTTAATTTCATATACATCACTTTACAGGAAGCACTGTAACAAAAAATTTACTTGAAAACTGCAATCCAAGCAAAGCCGATTGGAAAAGAGTTGAACCCTGGCACTAACTAAATCATGAGAAAAATGGTAAGTTTGTTTATGGTAATTCTTGAACACAGGCCGCCCGCAGCCATTAATAATACTACGTACCGCCTTCTGCACAAAAACAAATAAGCAACACGTGTGATAATGACACGTCGGTCAGAAGAATTCCTTCGCGACCTAATTTGACGTTGACGAAACATTACGACATCGTCTACTCATACTCAATGCGACGGCCATATTTTAATAGTATTAATGATTCTCTCGGTCCAATTTCTGACCAGTCCCAACTGTTCCAAAACTCAAAATTAAAAATTTTCTTCTACCGATTTTAAGAAAAGTTGCTGACGTGCAAAAATAAGGTCATGGCCTACACCATGGTCGGGTTATCCGCTTGAAAATTATCCGAATAACTGAGATGAAAAATATTTAACAAGCATCAACTGTATGATTTTTTGTAATATACCCCAAGAGAGAATAATAGGTCACCACCACATTTTACCGCACTGTTCTATCTTTCATTCTCAAGACTCGACTTAACTAGTAAAGACGTTAACCAAATACAAGGGAATTTTTTGGACTGAGAAAAAAAAAAGTTGAATCTCTTCTTCAACTTGCGTGTGTCAATGGAAAAAGAGAGAGAGAGAGAGAGAACAAAGATGATTAGTTTCCTAACTTTCATTTCAAACAGTTTAAGTTTAAAATTCAAATTTTGCTCATATGTCATTCATCTAACATCATTATAGTGTCATGCGTATCAATCATCTTAATGAAAAATTGCAATAATCTTTTTAGAGTTAATCTTATATACATTTACAGTGTATATATTGTTATCATTAGATGCATGGCAACTCATCTGAATTTAAAATTCAAATTTTGCCTATGTGTCATGCATATAACCACGACAGTGTATACATTATCTATCATGATTAGATGCATTATAGTATATGAGTAAAATTTGAATTTTAAATTTATATTTAGACAATTTGTCGTGCATCTAATTAATTTATCTTCCCAAGACAAAATTAATTTATCTTCTTAAGAACTATTATGCTCCATGAGAGAGGGGGGCAATGCAATGTAAGATTACCCCGTGCGTTAAGTCACAAACAGTTTGGTTTTTGGTTGTGCATGCGTCAGTCACAGCTTGGAGTTTCACGGGGAGCGTTATTACGTAGAGGTAAAGTTATGAGCCTATTATTAATAATAAGGACAGATTCGCAGCAAGTTGCAGAATTTTGTTGACTCGATAAAAGACTGGCTCGTGGAGCCAATTAAGAATTAATGCAGGTGAAGAAAATATACTTGTAATGCAGGAAGGCATATCCCTAAGTAACTCCAAGGCCTGAATAGAAGAATCATATGGTTTTTTTTTTTTTTTGGGTATCAAGAAGTTGTACGTACCGACATATAATTGTGCAGACTAATTATTATTGATTAGTATGTCATTGTCAATAGCAGCTATCCACCTAATTGATTTTTTAGGATGCATCCATCCTTCCTTCCATCCATTCCACATAAAATGTATGCATCCATTATCCAACTAAAGTATGCAGTTTAATCGGCGACACGAGTAATTTCGTGAGTACTATGTTAATGCAGGGAGCAGTCAAAGTAAAAGTCTCTCTCACTATGTACAACGAAATGTACCCGACCGCTTTTCCATAATTAATCGAATTGAAAACGTTAATCATGACAATTAACATTATATGGTGCGCCGGTAATAGAATTTGTCATCTCCGACTTTTTCAAATAGTCTTGTATTCAAATGGTTTTTCCGGTTAATGTTTATTGAAGGGAAGAGTAGGAGCGTAGTGGTTAAGTCATAAAACCGTATGTACCAAGCAAATAAGAAGCGCTTGTGATTCTAGTTTCTGGCGGCAGTAATTTTCGGCCCATTGACCATAAAATCATACATCAACAACAACTTCCAGTTCCAAGCAAGTAACGGGCAATTCCGTGCAAGTAGACGAACGAAACCAACACCTCCAATCCAAAGCTCCAGCTGCCTCAAGCAAGTAACTCCATGCGTGCTGTGGGTTGCGATCGGTGATGCTGATATAGTAGTATATGGTCCGGAGTTAGCTTTGGATTGGTCAAAAATTTGAGGCGGCTGGAGCTTTGGATTGGAGGTGTTGGTTTCGTTCGTCAGCTTGCACGGAATTGCCAATGCCTGGCGAGATGACAACTGCGCAGCATTCAAAACATTTGTGCTTTCTTAATCTTAATAATGCCTGGCATACTCATTTATTTGAAGATCCATATACACTACTGTATTTTGGTGAAGAAGACTACTACTATAAGTCTATAACCAAGCTCCTCTTTGTTCAACACTTTGACAGACATGAACGAAAGTGACTGACGACTTATTAGTCTTACTTCTCTTTTTATTCATATTTATAGTTTGTGTGTGTCTGTCTATATATATATATTGGGCTTTAATTAATGGTTATCTGCAACAATCTGTTAAAAAAATACGGCTCAATCGGAACAAAATTCAGAGAAAAATCATCCTTACTGTAATATCAAAGGCACTGTAACAGCCCTGTAAGTTACTGTGCAAATACTGCAAGACTAACGATGGAGCAATTCTTTTCTACCTCAACATCCAAACAAGGATATATATATATATATATATATATATATATATATATATATATATATTCTTCAACTCTGTGACAAATATAAAAGTTGCACAAAGACTTTAGTGAGTGATGTAAAATTAACCTACATCTCAATTATTGGAAGTCTTCTTGACAATTTATGCAAGTTTTTGGCGGTAGGGAGGCCGGATGGATCAGATTCCACGGGCCGTACAATCACGTAGACCTGACCTGATTTATCATTTTTGTCCCTTTTCTCGGTCTTTCTTTTTTTCACAAATGGAAGTAGTAGTACTAGTACCAGTTAGTGCAAATTTCAAACTCGTGTGATGTAGATTTGTCCAGCTTTCTTTTTTATTTTTTTCCTGTGTTGGTCTTCGGTTGTTGTAATATCACTGTCCACTATTTAATCTCATGAATTGTAGTAGTACTTCTTTTCATTATACAATCCCTTGTCTTTGTCGGGCCGCATTTTTAGAATTAACCGGTCGACAAGACGTGAATGTTTTGCAACTGCATTATTATGCCAAAAACTCTTTCAACTCCTCCTTTCCCTTCCCCCTCCTCCCCTCTCCCCATGCCACCCCCAATTTTCATTTTAGAGTACTGATATTTTTCATTTTTTCTATTCGACTATTTCTTTAATTATTCACTCATTTTTCAATTACTTTTTGAACTTCTTGTTTTGGGTCAAAGATTTTGATAATACTACGTGATGCATTTATGAATGCAAAAAGTTCAAGACAATTGTCTCAAAGCAGAGTTGTTTAGGGAGTCTGACGAAGAAGCATCGCTTTGTTCGGATAGAACATTATTTTAAATAATAATATAATATTTTTTGTGACATGATGCATGTGAAATAAAAAGGTGATGAAGAAAATTTTTTTAAAAAAAAAGGTTACAAAATGTATTTATAATAGAAGCGAAATAATATTTGTAAATAACGACTATTTTAATGATACGAGATTCCTGGGCTGAAATGATTATAATCGTGTGGGCTTTTTATAAGCCCCGTTCCTATTAAGAAATTTGAGTCACGGTTCTGGCTCTAGATGAAGCTGCTGGGCTTTGCCTAAAGTGTTGAGGTAAGAAACGATACACAGCCCGATACGTCTTGAGACCACTTAGGAATCCCTTTATATAATCGTGTAATCGATAAACCAAGGTACAGAGCTCTAAAAATGTATCGAGTCTAATGGTGGACGAGATTAAAACAAAAAATAATCAAATAAATGAAGTGATTAATGGTGGGCTTTTTTATGTCAAACAACTAATGGCGGACTGAATGAAGGTTATAATTCTGATATCTGATCAGTGCTACAGTTTATTTCACTGGATGTATTAGTGAGGAAGCCTTGCTCTTTTAGGGCCCAACTATATCAATCAGCCCAATTTAGTTGGGTCAGCACTCAGCAGTTTGGGTGAATTGAGTTGAGTCGAGATGCGCCGTTCTAGTTCAACTTCAATTAATAAATTTACACTCGAGTTTAAATTTGAATTCAATTTTGTTTTGCAATACTCGAGTTCAATCTCGTGCTCATCGAGTCTAATCGAATTTAATTTGAGCTTAATTAGTCTAATCAAGTTTAACAGATATAAATTTAAATTTAAATAAGCATACAATAGATATTTTATATAAATCAATAAAAAAAATTTAAAAAGTGTGTGCGCGAAATTCTATTGGACTTGATGAGTTCGTGAACTCTTCACATATTAAATTCGAGCTCGCTTTAGCAAGCAGCTCAAGCTATTCAAATTGATCAACGTGGGGTCGAGTTTCAACTTTGATTGAGCAACCTCAATTAAGTTAGCGTAACAATTTGTTCCTTCTATTTTTTCCCCTTTGTGAGTGGCAATTGTTAAATAACGGTAGCCTAATTTTTTTTTTTTTTTTTGCCCTTTTTCGAGGGAACGGTAGCCTAGTTCAAGTGGCAAATATCAAATTGATGTTTTCTTCCATGCTTTAAAGTTCAATCCTTTCTTGTTGAGTTTCCTCAATGGGTTTTTCCTGTTGTTCCACGATTTATCGGGAAAATTCAATCCAAATCCACAAGGCCAAGGCCGAATTTTGTACGACAGAGGAGCTGGGAACTAGGAACGCTAACCCAATCCTCAATTAAGCTGAAATACGCAGGGGCTTACGTTTTATTTGCTGTTTTGTTGTGTCCGATGCCAACTCAGATGGTGAAATAGCCATTTTAGACTGACTTTTTTCAGAGAGAGAGAATTTTCTACCAGGAGATGATGGCCTTTCGTTGGCACCTTCGGAAACACTCCCCTTTTAATTTTTTTTTTTATTCCCGCCCCGGTTTCTTCCCCCTCCCGACTAAACTAAACTAACTGAAGCAGCATACTATAAATTCAATGGACGAATGTTTTTCTGCTTAGAGTTAACAATAAGAAAAGTTGCAATTTTTCTTGACTTGAGCATCAAAAGAAAAGAAAAGGAAGACAAATAAATGGGTTGGAGAGGGATTCTGGGATTTGAGTATGGAATAGTGCAGGCACCATTGGGACCAGATATTTCAGGTCCAGAGCTTGTAGCTGCTGTTGCTAACGCTGGTGGACTTGGTCTCCTTAGAGCCCCTGATTGGGTAAACCCTTTTTCTTCTTCCTTTTTTTTTTTTTTTTTTTGAATGATCAGTTTTTTGGTTCAGTTTTTTATGTTTTAAATTTTATGTTGACATTTCTGCAGTGTACCGTTGAGCATTTGGTACCCGGTAGCTTTAGCAATTCCACGTTACTATTTCAAACTCTGAGAAGGACTACTTTCGTTTACTTTTTCTTTTATTTGCTTTTCATTTTCCTGTGATTTGCATTGCTTTCCTTACCTCCAAAAAGTTGCATTAGTGATAGTTTTGTATTAGTCTATGGTTTTGAGCTTTAAAGTGTCTCCTAGAGTCAAATTTGATGCTAGTCTTCTCCCCGTTGAGCTCACAACTAATATGCCAGTAATTGCAATTTTGTTCCTTTTTCCAAAAATAAACTTGCATTGGCTTCAGGTTATGGCTTTCTCATCCTGATAGGATAATAAGGGTTACTGGTGCTACATTGAATGTTAGCACAAAATAAAAACTGGTAATTGTACTAATCATTGAGGCTTATGTTCATGATCCACGTTTACCCTTGTCGAATTAGTTACTACTAAGTTGTTGAAATGCCATGATGTGATTTCGTAGTCTTAATTCAACTCATTGAATAATATGGTGATTGTGAGAGGGTCTCAAGGAGTCAGATAAGAGAATGCTCCAACTTATCACTAACTGTAAGGAAGACGTGCATGCAGACTCCCGTTAAATGTTCTTTTTTCTTTTTATTTTTCGTAGGGTAATATGTAATATTTCTAAACGCGCTTGCATAACAGGAGGCACCGGATTACCTAAAAGAGCTAATAAGGAAGACCAGAACCCTGACTGACAAACCTTTTGGGGTTGGTGTTGTTCTGGCTTTTCCGCACAAGGAAAACATAAGGGCTATACTGGATGAAAAGGTAGCGGTCTTGCAGCTTTCCTGGGGTGAGTGCACAAGTGATATAGTGCTTGAGGCTCACAAAGTCGGGGTCAAGGTTGTACCACAGGTTAGTCTTGTGAGCTGATTTTGCTGTTTGAGATAAATGTCCTTTTTTGTGCTTGCAATTCCTTAATAACAGTTGAGATTGCACTAATATCATAAAGGTGGGGAGCTTTGAAGAAGCAAAGAAAGCTGCTGATGTGGGTGTGGATGCAATAATTGTCCAAGGACGGGAAGCTGGTGGACATGTTATTGGACAGGTATAGTTGTTAGTGTACTCATCAGATATATATTACTTCAGTTCAATGTAAAAATGGAGTGGTATCTTATTGAATTTGCTTCATTTTCACAAAACATTGCTTTGCTATTGCATACAAGTGCCCATAAATTTTTACATATTGTTATACTATACACCGTTGTTATGTTAAGATTGTGTTATGAATGGTTTTGTAACCTTGAAATGAAATTAACTTGACTAGAATGATATAACTTAATTTGTTCCTTCTCTGAATCTGCATTTGGGTATAAGTAATGGGTGTACCTAGATATAGGAAAAGGTTATACTCTTGTACAGGGTACTACAATTGTAGACCAACATTTAAAATTCGATAGGGAATCTGTAAACTATGTGTTCTGCAGTTTGCTAGTTGCCTAAACATTTCAGGCTTCCAAAACCTTCCATTTTTTAAGAGCATCTTTACATTGCAAGTGACTGACTTGTATAACTTGTAATTTAATTTTTGAGGGCATTTCTTGAGACACTTCATTTATACTTTGAAATTGAAGTTCCAAGGTATAGTTGAATCCTAGCTCCACATCTGTGAAATATTTATGCCATGGTTTTTAAGGCATCTGTTAGTTAAACATCCTCTGACCATGAGCAGTTTCTCTCTCCGTATTCTCTCAGAGTTCTGAAATTGACCCGCATTGGAAAATTTGCAGGGTGCCTTAATTTCTTTGTTGCCAAGGGTAGTTGAGCTTGTTCAGGGTCGTGATATACCAGTTATTGCTGCCGGTGGAATAGTGGATGAACGTGGTTATGTAGCTTCCCTGGCCCTTGGAGCTAGGGGGATTGCAATGGGCACTAGGTATGTGACTTCTTTGGTTGTTAGTTTTCTTTATACCCGCTTTTATTTGATGAAAGCACAGTATCTGGTTAATCTTCGGACGGAGTAACAGGGATTCAGTCTGCTTTTATAAAAGTTTCCACTGTATAATCTCTGTTCTTGGTGCAATCGCTAGAAACCATTGCATTCTGCAATGAACATTCTAATCATTGGCAAAGTTCTTACCATTCAATGCTTATCCACTTTTTCTGAACAACTTTTGGATTTTGTGTCCTACAAACTCTCGATTAGCTTGATATTCTCTGGTTAGAGGTTTTGGAATCAAAAAAACGAGAAGTAAACTGTACTGTTATATATACATTTTATGTTATCAAACTAAAATGTCTGTTGTGGAATTGGAGCTATTTGGTCAATTATTTTGTACCATGATTGTACCTGGATTTAGTGGCATCTAACATCAATATGTTTCACAAGTGGGTACCAACCAAATGCTACACAAGTAAAGATATGAGCCAGAGTATATGTCAGCCAGCTAGAAATATATGGTTCAAACATATTTATGCCTAAGTAATTCACCAATATGTGTCCAATTTCTTTGATATTTGATAAGATTGGTCTTGCATTGCCATTTTCCTAATTCCATTAGACCATCTTTGATAGTGCATCATAACGATGCTTGGTGTACTGAACGGTGGCTAACTCATTTTTCCTAGATTTCTTGCTACGGATGAAAGCTATGCTCACCCAGCATATAAGCAGAAGTTGATCAAATTTGATGAAACAGAGTACACAGATATATTTGGCCGTGCAAGGTGGCCTGGAGCGCCTCAACGTGTTCTGAGGACTCCATTCTTAGTGGAATGGAGAACTCTTCCCAGTGATGAGAATGAGACTAATCAACCTACCATTGGTCATTCCACCATACATGGAATGGTAAATACTTTTCACTACTTGCCTTTCTTAATCATTTGGATGTTCCTCCTTGAAGTTTTCCTCTAATGTGTTGTAACTGTGATTGAAATTAGGAGATAATCTTGCTGAGGAGCTCATTTATTCAGTCACAGATGCAGTCATATAACTAACGAATTATCTTATTTGTATCAATAACTCTTTTTTTTTTGTTCTGTGAACAGTTAATTGAGTGATGTAGGTTTGTCTTAGCAGACAACCAAATGATGCTGACTATGCACGTGTATTATTGCTTCATTAGGTAAAGTGCTTGAGGTTGTGGTTGGGCTAAATTAAATTTGCCTGACACAGTTAAATTTGTGGTTGTGCAGGAAAAAGAGATTCGTCGATTCGCTGGCACAGTTCCAAACCTGACAACAAGTGGTGATGTTGAAAGCATGGCCATGTATGCGGGTGAGGGAATTGGCCTAATTAAAGATATCTTACCAGCTGGGGAAGTCATTAGGAGGATTGTTGAAGGGGCTAAGCATCTGATCAATCAACAATTTGCCTGTGACATGCAGGCTTAGGCATCAGTTGAATCGATACAACTAGTTAATGGTTGTAGTAGTATACAAGATTGCAAGTTTTATGCCGGAGAAATAAATCACTGAGAGAAGGAAAGAGAAATTATGTGTGTTTAACCAGTCAAGTTACTATGTGCTGTATTGTAGGAAAGAACAAAATATTGTATCATCTTCTTTAGTAGGCAAGAAATAATTTTATCTTGTGTTTACCTCCTTCTTGGTAAGCATGTGCTTCAGGGTTTACGATTTCAGATGTGCAACGCAGTTGATCTCAGTACAAGCCCATCCTGGTCGAGTAAGCACTCTACAACTTAATAATATTTGTTCCAATGCTCATTCTACAAGAGTATATGGTAGAAATGTGGTGGTAGCAGCATGACAGTCAATTGACAAAATAAGATTCAATCAAATTTTGAAATGAAACTAGAGTGCGTAAATTGTGGCTATTTGCGGAAAATTTCCGCTTTGAAAGGAAATTTCGGAATTAGGGTTTCAATTAACCCCATTCTGCCCGGTATTGTTTCTCCTAGTTAGAGGCCGAATTAGCCTTGGGTTAAAACATGAAAGTTGTAGAGAATGATATTTTATAGTTGCCTGTAAAATTTCAACCCAATCGGAGTAACGTAGCACGTGAAAAGACTGAAATACCCCTGCTGCCCTGTTTCTGTCCGAAGCTGATTATGTTTCTGTCCGAAACTGATAATTAGCTTCTGTAATTGGTTAGTTTGACCGGAAATACTACTGATTTGGTTGTCGATGTTTTCTTAAGAATTATATATTTGTATCTTAGCTTTCAGATGGCTTTGGAATCACTTGAATTGGAGTCGTATGTGCTGAGATATAATCGAACGAATCAGGACTGCCACAGTAAACTTCGAATTGAAAAATCTGGGATTGTTTTGGTAAATTTGACCTAGATACATTGTAAACTGGACTGAGTGGCCTTCTTCAACATTGTAACCCTTTCTTTTAGTTTCGAAACGGTGTATATTACACATCCATCCGATAGTCGTAGCGCCGGTTGGATCCAATACACTAAACGATATCAAAACTGTTTTTGGGTTTTAGGGTTTAACTTTCATTTCCGGTCATTTTCCTAGCTAAATTTTGTACTCGAATGACTTTGAGCCTATTGAACGGCTGTTGTGATGAATTTATATTGCGTATGACTTTGGGATTGATTGTGGAAAATAATGAAGTCATAAGTGGCTGGAAAAATGGGTAAATACAGAGAGCATGCTGCCCAAAATTTTAGGGCTACACGATTGGGTAAAAACGAAGCCCTAATTGTATTTTGTTTAGTATGAGTACCTCGGATCACACTTTATGTTAATTTGTTCAAGACTTCAATGTAAATATATGTATAAGTGTTTAACCTTGTCGATTAAATGTATTCCGTTGAGACTGTGATTTTATGGTTTGGTAGGCATGTTCTCACCTTAGTAGTTTCCGATTGTTCATTTTCTTTGGGTCCTATCTCGCGTACTATGCTGGATTTGTGTGAATCGAGTCCGTGGTCCTGGCAAGAGTTGGGCAGGCGGTCCGCCGAACCCTTTGATTTGCCTTAGAGTGAGGTGGGGCTGTCACAGGTGGTATCAGAGCCACTTCGCGTGGCCTCTGCGCGGAGTGAGATTGGGCCAAGTGGTGTTATGGTCCTACTTTCGTGAATGCGTCGAAAGGTATAAGTGCTCTTTTGAACATAAGTTATGAACTGTGCATGTCATAAGTGTAAAGATCTTTATCATAGGACTTGGGGAAGTTAGGTATGTATGTCAGGTAAGAATCTTTAATATGGATGATTTACACTTGGGACCGGCCTGCTCGAGTTGTGAATTATCTTAGATGGGATTCTTGCGCCCGAATACGAAAGAGATGAGAGTTTAGGTTAGAAAGGACTTAGACGAACTAGAAACGCAATTCTATGAAATTTCGTGTGGTTTGTTCGAGTGTGGTTAAGCGTGATCAACTTTCATTAAGATATAAATGGTGTTGTTCTCGTAAATTATGGACGGAACCCTAGAGGGGGAAAAGCTTTTCGTTAGTTTTTTTTGTACTCGTGACCTAGTCTGTCTATAGTACTTTTGGATGACCCCGTTACTTTCATGGATCTCTCATATTTGTATCTAATTGACTGCTACTGTGTGACTGGTTCGGTACAGTTGTGTGTATATATATGCTTTTGATCTGTGAGTACCTCTTGTTATTTGCTTATGCCTATAATTATCTTTAATATTATCTTTGCACCTCGACCTTAGATTGACTTAGATCAATGAAGGGCACTTGTAGTGTACGAGGCCGCGGGCGTGGAATTAGGCAACCCACTTCTGAAAGGGGCACTGGGGAAACTTCGCCTGGACCTAATCCTGAACCTAGGGTTGATCCTAACGTCCAAATAGCTGCTGCTATGCAGCAAATGACTGATTTGCTAGCTCAAGTGGTGCACCAACAGGGTCACAACCCTAACCCCAACCCTGGGAACCCTGGTAACCACGTGGAAAGCGAGGACTGGGCCCTCGAGAGATTCCAGAAGTTTGTCCCACCAAAGTTTATTGGAGGACCCGATCCAGATGTAGTCGAAAGGTGGCTAGAGAAAATGGTTGGATGATCTACTATACAGTTGGAGTTCTAGTTTTAACTTGTGTAATAGTTGAAACTGCAATTGTACTTGTACTTATGTGAGAATTGATGACCTTTGTTTTATTCGGGTAATTAGTATTTCTTGTATCTCTTGAGGTTCTAGTTTGTAGTGCAAATGAATTTGTGGAACATTTGATGTATATTTGAGATTTATATTGGAATTTATTTAAGAACTGAAGTGAACGATTGAGTTCCGGCGAAAGTTGGGCAGGCGGTTCGCTGAACCCTTTGGTTCGCCTTAGGGGGAGGTGGGGCTGTCACAAGTTTCATGAAATTTCCCACAGGAACACCTTTGAAACCATCATCATTTTTTTTTACTCATCAATATCCTGTATTCAACTGGAAGTACACTTGCTTCCATGTGTTTCATGGGGAATTTTCTGCTTTCCTTGTAACTTTGTAACGCAGACCGGTAGGATGCATCTACCTTCAGTGCTTGTTAACAAGGAAAAACCTTGGTAGTCCATCTTAATATAATAGCTCTTCCTATCCAATTGGAAAAAGCTTAGAACTTTTAGTGTTTGCAGGAGACTTGCAAAGAACCAGAACTGATGGGCACAGGACCTCTCTCCCGATGGCCTAGGAAACTCGTAATGGTGTTTTTGGGGGGGGGGTGGTGGGATGGAAGTTGGACTCTTCCCTTAAAGTAAAAGCAGCCTGTAAATCTCGGGTCTACAAAGGTGAAGCGATGCATTTATTTTCGTTCAACTTCAGTTTCCATCGGAGTTTTCCACTACCAGAAGGGATCTTAATCGGAGAATCAAAAAGAAGGAAAGAGAACTACTGATAATCTTTTTCAATTCTGAGAAACTCAGGCCTTGCTTGGATTGCGATTTTTCGTCGGAAAATTACGTCGTTTTCCGTGATCACATTTCCCTATTACCTTTTTCCCTTACATACATCAAATCGTTACAGTAATTTTTTCATGAAAAATCATGAAAAATATAATCCAAACACAACCTCAGACTTTTTGCAGATAAACTTAATCCCCAAAAAACTACTGATAGTCGTGGATCAAACTAATGTGAAATAGCAGGTGCAGAGAATGTTAAAAGTTTTTTACTTGAGTTTTGCCCAAATGCGCGAGTTATTCGACTCGACACCTTATGCGAATTATATAAACAAAGTTCCTTTACACCAGACGACACAGCGAGCGGGGGAGCGTACAAGTGACGCTTTCCCAATTTTCCATTGTTTATGATACTACACCGTAGCATAGCCTAGCTGTCTGTCACCAAAATGTCATTGGTACAATTTAATGACGGGCCTTCATTTAAAAAAAAATGTTAAATGTCAAAAAGCTAGAAATTTTTATATTTTTTAATCATTCTTTTAACTTGCATATTAAACTATATTTTTTTTATAAAGTTTTTTTAAAAATAGTAATCCAAATTGTCGTGCCCACGCATAACACGATCAACATGGGCCATCTTTTCTAGGTTGATTTAAATTCTGGTACTTTCGAGTCTCGTGAAAAACGCGTCTTGGGTGAGAACTGAGGCTCCTCATGACGCAAATTGTACTCAGAAAGAAAGAGTGCTAGTACTACCTCTACCTCTGCCTCTGCAATTAAACGAATCAAATTTCCGCAACGAAGGCGAAAAATGAACGCGTGCCAGGCTTCCTAATCAAGCACATGATTTTCCACGGTCACCACAGAAACACGTACTCGAGGCCCAGGCCAAAACATCTACGAAAAGAAAGTTACTGGTTCGCATAAGGGTTCTATGGTTGCCTCTAAATTCAGGAAAAAAAAAGAAAAAGATGATAATGTTCTATAAAATAAATTCCAAGAGGTATGGAATGGGGACCGTGGGGGGATGGGGATGTCCGAGAGCTGCGTGTTTGTTGGTGTGTGTGACTGTATGTACGAGAACTTGTTACTTGTGAGTATGGGAATGGGAAGTACAGGAATCATCAGTAAGGCATGCAATCGCAATGACAGCTGCAGGTAAAGGCCAAGGGGCCCAACCCCACGTATATCTTGCCCTTATCGTCCCCACCGTGCAGTATGCACTTATTTTTACACTCTCCCTGATTTTTCCCTCTTTTTCTTGTGGTGACTGACCTTACTCTGACGTCCTCCCTGTTCTGTACCGCTGCTTATTCGGACACTCTTCAATTTTATCATCTGGGTTCCTTTTTTGTTTTCGTCAACATGTCAACCATGGTTTCAGTCCGGAATTTCTTATCTGGCAGCCATTCTAAGCTTAAGTTTGCTTTCTCACCTAAGATTCTACACTTGGATCTTTTGAATGTGATTATGGTGCTTCATCAGATTCAATCAGTGTCAGAATTTCTCTTCTCTTCTCTTTTTCTTTTATCATGCATTCTTTGTTATTTATTTTTTATATTTTTACTTGTTAGTGCGTTAGATTTCAACTAATGAGTGCTGGAAGATTGGTTTTTGATGTCATTATTGGTCTAAAAAATCATTTTTGTCTGCCTTTTTCATTGTTCACAGGATTTTGAATTATGGAAATGAAACACAGGATAGAACTTTACTCTTCCTTTTTTCCCAAATCCCTATTGTTGGTTTTATTTTCAAGTGCTTCTTAGGGCATTTAGTTGGGTTGAGTTGTAACATGGATGGAAATTTTCCAAATTTTCTTCTATTGGAAAATTTCCATTCAAATA